CCCTATTGACAGCATAATCACTGGCAGTCTATTACAGTCACTCCCTATTGAGAGCATAATCACTGGTAGTCAATTACAGTCACTCCCTATTGAGAGCTTAATCACTGTCAGTCCATTAGTCACTCCCTATTGAGAGCATTACCACTGTTAGTCCATTATAGACACTCACCTTTGAGAGCATAGTTACTGACAGTCCATTACAGTCACTCCCTATTGAGAGCTTAATCACTATCAGTCCATTACAGTCACTCCCTATTGAGGGCTTAATCACTGTCAGTCCTTTACAGTCACTCCATATTGAGAGCATAACTACTGGCAGTCAATTACAGCCACTCCCTATTGAGAGCTTAATCACTGTCAGTCCATTATAGACACTCACCTTTGAGAGCATAGTCACTGTCAGTCCATTACAGTCACTCCCTATTGAGAGCTTAATCACTATCAGTCCATTACAGTCACTCCCTATTGAGAGCTTAATCACTGTCAGTCCATTACAGTCACTCCATATTGAGAGCATAATTACTGGCAGTCAATTACAGCCACTCCCTATTGAGAGCTTAATCACTGTCAGTCCATTACAGTAACTCCCCTTTGAGAGCATAATAGCTGTCAGTCAATTGCAGTCACTTCCTATTGAGATCATAAACATTGTCAGTGAAGAACAGTCGATCCCTATTGAGAGCATAATCACTGTCAGTCAATTACAGTCACTCCCTTTTGAGAGCATAATCACTGCCAGGTCACTCAATCATCCACCACATCCTGAACATGCATGAAATACTTGCCACTAGATGTTAAAGGAGACATGACACGATTTTTTTTTTATTTTTTTTTTTTATTAAATTAATAAATATTAGTCTTAAAACATGTTTTGTAAAATTTTGCTGGCCAAAACCTGATAAATCAGCATTTTTCTGGTCAAAGAATCAAGCGCTTGTTATTAAGGCTGTGTTTGGATATACGCCTAAGGCAGCCTATGGTTACCCATAGGTATCTTTGGGTACCCATGGTTTGATATTTTGATATATAGAATATCAAACCAAAGGTACCTATGGATAACCATAGGCCACCTCTGGCGTATATCCAAACACAGCCTAAGAATGATTTTTAATTAGATAACGATCACGTGATCGTGCTTACGTCAGTGGTTACAAGCTGGGAAAATGTCTCTTAACTGGACGATGTCGATACACTATGGACGGTATTGACAGCACTTTTCCAGATTACTGACAAACTATAAAGACATTGTGTGTGAAAAATAACCAAGAAAAGGATATTAATTCTTTATGCGAAGAGTCCAAAAACGACGATTTTTCAGACAATACCGATCGGATTGTTACCATACATATTTGGTTTGTCTGATGAATAAATTTAATAGACCGCTTTCTGCATTTTTTTCATTTAAATAAAACTACTTTTTAATCATGATTGAAAATATAAATTTCTAATTATTGATGATCAAATTGTTCTTTTTTTTCTCTCTGTTACGGTAATGTTATAATTATGTGTGCGCCAGAAGCAGAAAAAAACCGATAGTAAAAGTCAAATTAGGCGTTCGCAAAGTGTCCGTTTTTATTATTTTTTTTATTACATAGAGACTTTTAATAGGTATAAATTATCACCAAAAGTTATGCTTATAATTTTTTTGGTTGGAAACCATACATCACACAAAGGATTTGTATAGTGAAAAATCCTTTATCACACTATTTCTGCATTCGGATATTCAATTAACAATTTTATTACTTTCCCCCTTTTATGTAAACAATTCAATTCAATATTTTATTTACGTCTCACCTAATGTATAAAATTACACAATACAAAACATTTATTAGAGGCTGTTGTTTTAGTGATTAAATGTTGACACCTATAGCATACTTGACCAGGCGAAAGGTAAAAGGCACCTGTAGTGTGATTTAGTCAGGTGTTATGTTATTTACCTTTAAAAATCATACATTTCTAAGAAAAACTATCTTATGTTGAAATAATTAATATAGTTATATTACACTTCTAAAGTATGCTATTCCATCCAGACCGTTATAAATCTAACTTCAAATTTAAGGAGTTACACAAAGTAAATTCAAATTCACTTATTTCCATCCCTCTCTTCCAAATATCATTTAGCAATCAATTTGTTTATTGCTACCAGCGAAACGCTCGAGTCCAGGAAAAATATTCGCAACACATAATGTTCTTTTTCAAAATATTTTTTCTAAAAGGGGTCATTTGAATAAATGTTAGATTTTCAATCGGACTGAGCAGGAAAATGTTAACATGTAACATACTTCAGTCTTAGAGAACATGAGTTGTGTATTAGCTGTACTTGGCTTTGATCTAGCTAACAGTATTTGTGCGTTGTCTCTATTGTTTTAACGTTAGTGGTTTCTCTACTTCGTACCGATCTTTTGCGATAGACTGGTTTTTATAGTTCTAATGTACTGCTGTAAGACCACTGTCACACGTTGGGAGGGGGAGAGGGTACCGTAGGCGCTCACAAACATATACCATGGACACATTTTGAATGTGCCTGTCTTAAATCAGGAGCATATAGATCAGTTGTTGTCGTTGATTCATGTCTGTCAATTTTTTTCTACGGAAATTATTTTGTTATAAATAAGTTAGTTTTCTCGTTAAAATTGTTTCAGATTTTCACGTTGAGAACTTTTATAGCCGAATATACGGTATCGGGTTTTCTCATTATTGGAGGCCGTACGGTAAACGACACTTTCTTCATTTATTATGAAGTTTCCATTTTAAAAAGAAATGTTTTTCATCATCTGAATCTTTACCAACTAAATAGTTGTCAATAATTATATTCGATGTTCAAAATATAATAAAATTGAGAATGGAAATAGGGAATGTGTCAGAAAAAGAATGTAAAAGAATTATGATTCACATTCTCGTATCATTTCCTTGTTTGCTTTTTATGCTTTATGTCTAACGAAGTTATAGACTTGCAAGCATACAAGAATGTTACTATTCCATCTCAAGAAGTCAATTAAAAATTGCATCTGTTATAAACCTTTTTATATATATCTGCATATTCTTAAAAGCAATAAAAATAAGATCTATATACAGGTTGTCTATTATATTTATCAACACGGGTTAGGGTATTTAATTGGTAGTACATAGGGTATTGTATGGTCGTACTACAGGTATTCATTAAACATATATTATCAGGTAGTTGTGCCTGTTTTCTGTACACAACAATAATATATTCCAATCTCACCTGTGCCCTCGGCAAAACCAACATCCAGGATGTACACAAAGAGTTTATGAAGTAATATTGCGTAATCACTATGTCTTTATCAATCCCCCATGTGGAGTGACACTTGAAGTTTGCAACTTCAAACGAGACCTGAAATTGCAAAACTCAATCATCTGTACCGTACACCTGTGACCTATGATGAACTCATGGCATTGCATCCGAGACCCCAACTCTGGAATCCTAATGAAAGTGGGCGAAAAGAAGTGTAGTTTGGGCTTGCTAAAAAGTCCCATCTTTACACCTTCTACGTCTGCGTGTCATTCAAAAAACAGAAAATATCATGTCAATATTCTTTTTAATTATATTGTTGAATCCATCGGCATCACACATAATCATTGTTTATCACTGTCATGCGTTTTTTTGGATAATAATCGAAACTAAATTTGTGCTGTACCCATATGTCAATATGAATGAATGTAACCACTGACGTAGTAGCCTCGTTCTGAGTGACTTCTGGGATGGAAATATGCATACATGTATTTGACAGGTCGATAAATCGTTGCACTAAAATCTCATTAAATACATATTTTCCTAAATAGTTGACACTTATATTGCTATCGATGTATTTTTGGGGAAAGTTAAGTATAAATAAACATTTTGAAACACAAATTGAAAATCGTGTCATGTCTCCTTTAAGATCAGAAAATAACATACATTATTCTGTAAAACCAATTAACTAAGGTATAGAGAATGAAGCATGATTCAACATGCAATGCACAAGATTTAAAGATAAGTGGAGTAAATTTATACAACAAAAACAACAACAACAAAAACCAACAAAAAAACAACAACAAAAAAAACCATAAAAACAAATAATATATTAATAAAATTTAAAAAAATAAAAACAGATACATAATAAAATGTCCATTAAAAAGGGGGACTTATTTTCATTTATTACTGTAATAAATTTAGTCTTTTTAAATTTGAAATCCTTTTTGTATTAAACCGAGAGTTAAATATGGCGATATTTGATCTCGTGTAATAATATAATGTAAAGAGATTTTTCAATTTGGTTTCTAAATCAGGGCGTTTCATAATGTTTTCAAGTAAACAATAATCAATCAATCATTTCCTAGTGAAAGCATAATAACTGTCAAACTGTCAATCATACTTCTAATGTTTACAGTCAATATAATCTATTTTATCATTTGTAGCTATTGTAGGGTTGTATATCAAAATTGACAGAGGATAAGTTCTACAAGCATTTCTTGTAGTTTGATCTATTTTGACCAAGATTGAATGTGGATATAATTATCAGCCTTAACCATTGGTCTATATGAGAGGTGTTGTAACCAAAGCAATGTATGCTTACCTTTCAAGGGCATCTAATATTTCTCTCTGATTTCTGCTGCTCTAGGCTTTAACTTAAGAGTGATTTTTTTGTGACTTGAGTATAGATTAGTATGGCAGGTGATAATGATGCAGGAAACACTTACTTCATCAATGCACATTGTCTTACTTTATTTGGAGTAATTGGAATACCTGGTTTTTTTTGTCCTTTGGATTTTTGGTGTCCTTTGGGATTTTGGTGTCCTTTGGATTTTTGGTGTCCTTTGGGTTTTTGGTGTCCTTGGGATTTTTGGTGTCCTTTGGATTTTTGGTGTCCTTTGGGTTTTTGGTGTCCTTTGGATTTTTGGTGTCATTTGGATTTTTGGTGTCCTTTGGGTTTTTTTTCTTGTACTTTGTTTTTCTTTTTTGTCCTTTGTTTTTTTTTCCAAATTGGTCGACAAGTTAAGAATATCAAAATATTTTATTCTGATATCTAAAGATGAACACTAAAATATACACAACAGATCACATATATAACAAAAGTAAGCATAAAATAATGAAAATGTACAATTAACTATAAAAAATGCATAGAGCACTTTTAGGTCATTTATATTACTAACCTAACTATAAACATGATTACTATACTTTTATTTTAATACAAACTTTTCTTTTTCTTATATGCAAACATCAACTTAACATTCTTCATAAAAGCAGGTGAAAAATCAATAAAAATTATAAATAAATGTGTGGAATGATAAACAACATTCATGGAAGTTACAAATTGTTTTGGTTTTTTTTTCATTTCACAAAAATAAACTGTACTATGATATTTGTTTACTATATATATAAAAAAATAACTCTTTGAAAATGAACTTTTACGCAAAAGTATACATGGTGAATAACAAAAAGAATTGATTTTATACATAATAATAATCTTATCAAATTGAAAGGACATACCAAAAATACCACCCATAAAAATAAATGTATAATACATTCTTTTTCCAACATGAAAACTGCAGGGTGACACCATATAAATATAACAACAGTAACAGCTGTATTGGTACAGATACTAAAACAATGGACTTATACTTGTGTTATAAAGCCTTAATTAGATATAAAAAGATGTGGTATGAGTGTCAATGAGACAACTCTCCATCCTAGTCACAATTTAATACCTACAAATCTCCTTTCAAAATCAATGTCGTATACAAATAAATGTTCTATCAAATTTTGTAAGGCATAAAAAGTTTGCATTAAAAATTTGGTACAGTATGAACAGAGAGAATTAAATAACAATTTAATTTTAAAATGGTCAAATTTTTCAGAAAATTAAATCTGTTACAAAAAAAAATATGAAGGACTCAGAGGTGTGATGGGGACACCAAAGTCGATGGTCACATTGAAGTGCAATGATCTACGCTGAAGTGCGATGGTCCATTCGCTAATACATAATTATATACAATCAAAGTAACTATTTATTTATATATCCTTCTGCCCCTTAAATTGGTCATTACCCAAAATTGGCCACCTTTTAGAATCAAGATTTCACTTGATAATTGTTGTTGATGACATCGATCATTTCAACTTATTTTAGAGTACCATTTTTTTATGAACAACAATATATATACAATTTCCAACAAAAACGTGATTAAAAAAAATCATCCTCTTGGCCTGCAAGTGCATCACATGATCATTTTTTCTGGTTGACAGATTTTAGGTTACATATATTTGACGACACTAAAAACACAAATGAATGAAAGGGCTAACATGTCAATATTACACCATGAAAACTAATCCAGTTTCATCAGTTCATTCATCTAAGGTGTCTTATTAAATATATCATAATCATGGTGAATGTGTCTCCTTATAAGCACAAAAATGATGAAATTGCTTTATGTAAATGATTTATGGTAACATGCAGATATATATAGATGATTCAAAATACATTAAAAACTTAATTTGATTGGCTCATCACTCTTGATAGAGGATTGCTGCTCACAAGGAAGCAATTAAACCAAGAGTTCCAAATGGTGAAGTTGAAATAATCCCTTCGTAAATTTTACGGACGCCATCACGAGTTGGTTGACCATTATGGAATAACCATTTCACAGATGATATCAAATAAGTTCCTTATGTCGTAATTACAATACCCTTCCCTTTTCACGAATGTGACCTACCGAATTAGACTATTTACCGGATTTGTAATAACATAAGCAACACGATGGGTGCCACATGTGGAGCAGGATCTGCTTACCCTTCCGGAGCTGGGGTTCGTGTTGCTTAGTCTTTAGTTTTCTATGTTGTGTCATCTGTACTATTATTTGTCTGTTTGTCTTTTTATTTTTGGCCATGGCGTTGTCAGTTTGTTTTCGATCTGTGAGTTTGACTGTCCCTCTGGTATCTTTCGTCCCTCTTTTGTCTCCATTTGTCAAAGTTAAATTCAGTTTAAAAAGCATGTAGTTTAGATTTGAAGCATACAATTTCAAAAACAACGGTATGTTCCAACCTATTATGCATTAAAACATGCATGAAATATTGGTTCAATAATGCATGACACAGTGATCTGGAAGGATTTTTTCTCTATGGGCCCAGGGCCCCCCAAAAATAAATTCAATGGGCCATTTTTAGAATTATTGTGGGCCATTCATTTACAATAAAAAAAATAAAAAAAGTGTATATTTCACTGTACTTACAACGTAACAAGTATGATTCTAATTAATATCATGGATATTGTTCCTGTGATTTTGTAATTTCAATTTCAATGAATATACAATAACTTCTTCCAAACCGGGCAATATTTACGATAACCTTTATTTACAATGTTAAAACTGGTACTGTTCCCTTGTTCATGTTCATGTTTTTTTTTTTACATTAAATTTGGGTCTTCGTCGATACCATACTTATTCCAGACGTTCCGTATTAGAGGACGTTTCTGGCATTTCCTCTGCACTTGTACTATTATTACTTCATCACGATGACAAGAATAACAGTAGAGAGCAACGTTAATTGATAAGACAAAACAACAATTTGCTGAAATGTCAAAACGAGCCAAAGACCAAAAAAATTGTCAAGGACAGTTAAGCCCCTTTTATGGAGACAAATACCATACCATTCATAAAAAGGCTTTTGGGTTTTTCAATCGAAATAATAGCAAGCTTACTTAAAAGATTATAATTAGAGAAGAATTCTCGCCTGTACTAGCCAATTTTCACAAATTTAAAGTTGTTTATAAAAAATTATATCATGAATGATGGTTAATTACATTTTTTGGGTAATCAGTCATACCGCATGTTGCTATTGGCTGTGTTTGGATATACGCCTAAGGCAGCCTATGGTTACCCATAGGTATCTTTGGGTACCAATGGTTTGATATTTTGATATATAGAATATCAAACCAAAGGTACCTATGGATAACCATAGGCCACCTCTGGCGTATATCCAAACACAGCCATTATTACCATAGGAAAACACCCGAGACGTCCCAAAAATATATAAGTGCTCCTATCATTGAAGTAAACACTACACAGTTGTGTACTCACACATGGCGGCACGAAATACGATCAGAAATCCATTTGACGATATCTCTACGTTTCAAAACGAAGTGAAAAATATCATGCGCCACGCGGGCGCTTACATTTGTCACTCTATGCGCCATTTCTGGTCGATAAGCGCAATTGGCGCAAGGCGCACATCCTTCCCGATCACTGATGACATGGTATTTATATAATTATCATGATGGATTAAAAAGAAATTTTATATTATTAAAGAGAGAGATGAATGTTCCAGGAAAAATATTTACAAGAACTTGCTTTTACAGTTCTGGGTGCAAACGAGGCTTATATGTCATATTTCTTTAAATTCAAGTTGTTGAGAAAAAAAACAGAAAAAGGCTAAATGTATTATTTTTGTCTGACACATACAGCTGTTTAACAACTAAACACAATGTTATTTTAAATCTTATATCTGTAAATCAGTAAATTATTCATTATAAACTTATGTTGTTATGTTCAACTTAATACAAGATTCATGTACCATGTATAAATCAGAAAACAATGTTTTGGGCAATATCAGAAATTCCAGAGATAGGAATTACACTTTGCTTGATTATCAGACAGTCTGAGGATTTAAATACCATTTGTATCGTAGTGTTGTAGATGGCGCTGGTGTCTGGTTGTAACCCATCATGCTCTCACTCTTACTTGCTACTTTATCATTTACCTGGAAAAATAAAATACATAAGACTTTATTACATTTCCAGTGAAAGAAAGTATCAACTGTGGATCTAAAATCATTTATGATAATTTGGTTTCTTCATGCTTTGTGAAAATAATGAAAAATTAATTTCAAGTCCTCCATACAAGCATAATTTGATTACTGCTAAACAATACAGTGCTTATCCCACTTTATGAGGACTGGAGTTGTTTCCCTTTATATAAGAGATTTTTCAGGAAATGCTCTTTTTTGTTCTTTCTGTTATATTGTTCAAGTTATATTTTTTCATATGCATTGATGAAAAAATGTTCAACTTTAGATAAATGAAGAATTTTAATTTGAATATAAAATATTCATAAAATACAATATATTATTTAGGAAAAAAATGTTAGATATCATAATGTAAAGTTGCATATGGTTCATGTTTATTGAGTAAGAGAATAAGTTAACAATATGCTGATAATCATACACAATTATCAACTACTGATACTTCTGATGTCGTTGATACAATGATTAATGAGATATGATATTCATCAAATAAGACTATTGTGTACACAATGTAAAATTTTACCATTGTAATATTTCAATCATTTTCTGAACTATTTTAGTTGGAAGTAGTAATAATAACTGCCCAAGATTAATTTGAGGAGACCCACACTTAGCCTGTGTATCTATATTAAGTCATATTACCTGTGTTAACATATCCATTACGTGTTCATCAGAGGCTGATTCCCTAAACACTTCTTCCAAACACTGTATGAACCAGCTGCCTTGTTCTTCATCTCTGAAGGAAACATAACCTGGAAACGTGGAGTAAGCTATCAATAAATCACTATTGGCTGGCTGTTTTCTATCTAAAGATGTCGGCCCAGAGTCTGTCTCAGTTTTGTCATAACATGGCTGTGTGCTTCCTAATATTGGATTGCAGTCTACATCATCTGTCAATAAATTGATAAATATAACAGCATTAAATGTAGATAACAATGTAATAGTAAAACATATCCTTATCCATCAGCCTTAAATTCAAACCAGGGTAATGTTGTTGTTATCTAGTGGCAAATATTAAATTGATTGCCCTCTTGAAATTATCCTTGGTTTTTAGCATATTTATTTTTTCTCTGACATATGAACCTATTATATAAAAATAAGGAGATGTGGTATGATTGTCAATGAGACTACTATCAACCAAAGTTCAAGCAAGGTAGATGTAAGCAATTATATGCAACCATTATGCAATGTATGGTTACTATACAACCTTCAACAATGAGAAAAACTCTTACTGTATAGTCAGCTATAAAAGGCCGACATGAAAAATATGAAATAATTCAATTTAGAAAACTACCCAACTAATCTATAACAAAACAGTTGAACCTCATCAGTAATAGTCTTCCGTCATATGATTGCATGTATTAGTGTTTTGGCTATTGGAAAATTTTGCTATGATGGTAGATAGTCTTTTTTATATTATTCACATCTTTATATTCTGAGCGGTAACCAGCTTGACAAAATTGTTTAGACACCTGTGGCTCTTTTCACAAAAAATGTTCAGATAAAAATGATTGTGAGTTAAACTGAAAAGTTTATGACTTACAAGTATTTTTTCTTGGGAGATTTTTTGTGAAATGAGTCGCTGTCATTTGCTAAAATGGAGGTTTTGTGTCGGTCACTTCCTGTCTCAAAGACATGTAAACTCATGATCAATATGAACTTAATTATGTAAGTAAAACAGAAGCAATCACTTCCAAGATAATTGATAAGTTTAATTATATTCAAGAGCAGTAACATATATGGAAATAAATGGGGAATGTGTCCATGGGACACAGATGATGCCCACGCTTGCATATAACGTTATAAAGGGACATAACTTAAGAACAGTAAAAGTGACAATACCCAAATTTGTACTTCATCTGACTTTTGTTGTAATAAGCATTGTGTATAAGTTTCATAACATTTGCTTGAGGCAAACTTAAGTTAGAAAACAAAAACGAAAAATTCAGCAATTTTTCCATTTGTAAAGGGGCATAACTCAATAACAGGAAAAGTGAGGCCACCAAAATTCAAACTTGACCTGTGTTTTGTGGTAATAAACATTGCACATAAGTTTCATGTTAGAAATGGAAATGAAAAATTCAGCAATTTTTTCATTTGTAAAGGTGCATAACTCTAGAATGGTAAAAGTGACGCTACCAGAATTCAAACTTGATCTGTGTTTTATGGTAATAAGCATTGTGTTTAAGTTTCATAACATTTGGTTGAGGCAAACTAAAGTTAGAGAACAGAAACAAAAATTTCAGCAATTTTTCCATTGTAAAGGGGCATAACTCTAGAACAGTAAAAGTGAGGCCACCAAAATTCAAACTTGACCTGTGTTTTGTGGTAATAAACATTGCACATAAGTTTCATGTTAGAAATGGAAATGAAAAATTCAGCAATTTTTCCATTTGTAAAGGGGCATAGCTTTAGAATGGTAAAAGTGACGCTACCAAAATTCAAACTTGATTGTGTTATGTGGTAATAAGCATTGTGCATAAGTTTCATAACATTTGGTTGAGGCAAACTAAAGTTAGAGAATGGAAACAAAATTTTCAGCAATTTTTCCATTTGTAAAGGGGCATAACTCTAGAACAGTAAAAGTGATGCCACCAAAATTCAAACTTGATCTGTGTTATGTGGTAATAAGCATTGTGTATAAGTTTCATAACATTTGGTTGAGGCAAACTAAAGTTAGAGAATGGAAACCAATTTTGGGACATACAGACAGATGGACGGACGGACGGACGGACGGACATACAGACAAGGGTAAAACTTAAAGCCCCCTCCGCTACAGCGGGGGCATAAAAAATTGTAAGGGGTTCTGCGGAATTGATGTTATCAGTGTAAAAGTGTAATGCTGACTTAAAAAATGAGTCCATTTATCAGTTAAATACAAAATTTAATTTCTTTAGATGTTACTTCATGGTCTATAAGATTATCTTCTGTCTAACTTTCATAACATGAAGGTTTAAAAATTTATCAGGTCAAAAAAGTTTAATCCCAGACTTTCTGTATATGTTAACTTTAAAAAAACTTAGTCTTAGCCTTTTTATGATTAGGAGATAATGTCTGATGCAAATTTTTGAAAAAAATATTTTTTATTTTTTATTTTTTCTGATAGATGTATCAGAAAAAATTGAAAATAAAAAAAAATTTCAAAAGTTTGCATCAGACATTATCTCCTAATCATAAAAAAGCTAGTGCCAAAGTTTCATAAAAGCCTATGAAGGTTTCATATTAAAAGTAATTGATGTGTAGCAAACTTTAACTCTAGATTTTATCTACTTGTTAACTGTAAAAAAAGGAAATAAGTCCACTTATCAGATAACTATGGAAAATGAAAATAAATATTTAAAATTTGTTTCTCTAAATACTGTATTTTGTTTATAAATAAGACTCTGTCCAAAATTCCTCAAATTCCAAGAAGGTTTGATAAAATAATTGATGACTGAAAAACTTTAACCTCAGACTAAATCTGAATGTTATACTGTAAAAAACATTAAGTCCATTTATTAGTAAAATACGGAAAAATGAAAATAACTATTTTTAAAATTTTGTTCTGGATACTGTATAATTGGTAATAAACAAGCTTCTGTCCAAATTTCATAAAATTCCATGAAAATTATTAATGTGTTAATATAACTTTAACTACAGACTGAACTTAAATGTTGATGCCGCAGACGGCTATTCCTCGCTTTTGCAAAATAAATTTCCCAGGCTCGACAAAAATGATAAAGAAAGCAGCATTTTTCACTTTTTTTGATAATTACCTCCCTTGCAACCATTTACAAATTAAAATAAGTATCAATAATTACCTCCCCTGCAAACATTTACAAATTAAAATAAGTATCAATAATTACCTCCCCTGCAAGCATTTACAATAAACATTTTAGGCTTTCCCATCATAGCTGGACAGTAGTCAGCATTGAACTTTTTGATCAGGTTGATGACATTTAACCTCTGGCAGTCTGATCCTAAGATGAACTCATCGTTACCATGTGACATTAGAACAACAATCAAACTGTCCACACGATAAAGATCTTGTAGTAAAGAAAACTGTGAGAGCAGTTCTTCTACTTGCTGAAATATACAGGAAAAAATTTAACTTTTAAAATCTATCAAATACGTTTGATCCATATCATTTCCATTACCAGAAATACTCTTTTACTTTACTCTGATTTCTCAAGTCATTTAAACGTTTTATGTGCTAACTAGATACCTGCATCTTTGAACTGATAAAGTAATTGTGACTGCTCGACATTTTACAAACATCTTTCTTTATGCTTATGATATTAATCCAACACTGCCTAAAGAAATATTTTTATTTTATCCTTTAAAAACAGTTATTGAAGCAGTCATAAGGAAGTTATCCCTATTAGAATATTCATCCCCTTTGTTCAATGTACTGATGTAGATTTTATGCCCAACAAATGCACAAATAACATCAAATAACGTCACCTTAAACCAAATACTTTGACAGAAAGATAACGCTTGGAATTAAGTGTATTTGAGCAAGGAAAACCTGATTATTTGATAGCATTTAGATAAAACTATGAAAGAAAAAATTTATATGGTACACAAAAATTATAATAATAAGTTTCTATGGTTACCATAGCTGTTTGATCTTCCTTAACATCCACCTCGAATCCAAAATCTTCAAACATGGCCTTCAATTTGTCTCTGTCTTGTTCAGCTCCTGGTCGATGTTTATGGTTACGGAAATGAATATTATTAATAATCAATACAAAACCTCTTGGTGTGGACTCCATTTTGTATTTCTGGAATAAATTAACATAAGAATATCGGTTTAAAATGTTTGAATACATTTTTTATAGATTATAGCATACAATATTCATGAATATTAAGGTTTTTACTATAACAATTACTAATTTTTGACTATCATTTAATAAAGAGCTGTTCCATAAGCGCATGATACTCCTGTCTCTTTTTCAAGGAATAAAGTTCCATAACTCCCCATGTCATTTCAGAAATTTTATGAAAAATGCTCAAATTACTTTCGAGTTATTGTCTGAACACTGGAAAATTTCCCCTTTTTAAAGAAATAAAATCCCATAACTAGGAAACGTTAAATCTAAAATTTGTAAAAATCGAAAGTGGGCTTACATCAATAGATATAAACAGTTTCATACAAATTGGTTAAGATCAAGGAACAGTAAATGGGCTATTTTTGTAAGATTTTGCATATAACTTGGTGAATTATATTGGAAAATCAAAAAATAATACATTTATCCCTTTTATTTTCTGAAATATTCCTTATTGAATTCTTTCAAAATGGGTGAACATTTGTATAGGAAGCACATGAAATTGACGAAAAACGTTCATGAATTTATCTTCAAATTTTAATTTTTTTAATTTTTAAAGCGTAGATTTTTCTTAACAAAAACTATATATTGTTGATACATAAATTTCTGTTTTAATGATACAAAATAATCAAATGGTCACCGACTTTTTTGTATATTAACTAATCAGTTACCTTGTAGGTAGTGAAAAACATAAAAAATAAAATACTTCGTTGAGCGCAGCCTGATACGACCGCAGATGTCGAATCCTGAACAGTTGGGGCAAATTTGGACACAATATTCAAGCTTGATACTGTCTGAATTTGGATTGTGATCAAATTTTTAAAATAATATGGGTTTCTGGCACAAAATAAATGTGGTCAAAGATCTTCAAAATCTATTGTGCAATACTGTGCAATTGAAGATTTCTTCTGGAAAATTTTCCAAAAATTTGAAATTTCAAAAATTTTGAAGAAAAAAGTATGAGCCACCCCAGAAATTGCGCCAAAACTCAATCCCAGCCTTCCCTTTGTGATATGGAATCTTGTGGTACAATGTCAGAGAGATCCATACACTTACACACCAGTTATTGTCCAGACACTACAAAAATGCTTGTTTTTGGACCCTTTTTGATCCCTAATTCCTAAACTGTTTGTACCAAAACCCCCAAAATCAATCCCAACTTTCCTTTTGTGGTATTAAACCTTCTGGTAAAATTTTATAGAGATCTATTCACTTAAACAAAAGTTATTGTCCGGAAACCAAATGTGTCTTCCGACAACAACGACGACACAGACAATGCCGACCACAACATCATAGCATTATACGAACCCAATAAATTTTTGCGGTCCTTTAAAAATGATATTAGAAGGTCTACAACAAGATGACGTTACGATTATTTTGATGTTTTTTTATATTTTTTTACCTAGTACACTGATTTGATTGATGTATACCGTGAAGACATAGTCAGTGACCCTATTATCACTTTACATCATAAAAACAGAAATTTATGTATCAACAACATAATTTAAAGTTCTTTAAGAAAAATCTATGTAGTAAAAGTGTTCATTGTTGAAGACCTACCAGTTGGCTGTGAACTTCTGACCCTTGGTTTCTTTGTTTTGAACTGTTTTACCTTTTGAAGCCTTTTATAGCTTACTATATGGTATAGGTTTAGCAATTTTTTTAAGGCACTACAGTGACCTGTAATTGTGTACATCTTTGTTCTTGAATTTGCTTGAAAATATTTGTACATCAATTATTATGTGTTAACATTTTTTCGACTTAAACAAACATGAAACAATGAAATTTTAATGTTAAACAACCATTAATCAATCAAACCATCTACTACAGTATTAGCATTTTGCATTGTCAACATGAAAATGTGCATTGGTTGCTTCTTTTTTAAATGTTTATTTTTATCTTGACCTTTGTCCTTTCTGTTGCCTGGTGACTGCTTGTTTCTGGTGTACTTTCTAAGCTTGAAGTCTGCTGCCTGTTGTCATACTGTGAACTGGTCCCTGGCACTTGATAAATAAATCAAAAAGTCATTCATAGTGAGGAAAAAAATATTCAAATTAATTCCACAATTAATTCTATTATTTCCTAACATCATATACATGATATATAAATATTGCATTTAACTGATTATTAGAAATGATTTTGAACAAACCTTTAAAACGATCCACATTTTCTATTAAAAAAGTTTCATTACATTGAAAAAAAAACACTTTGGATTTATTATTATTCGTGGGATACCAATTTGTTGGTTTTGTGGGAATATGTAAACCACAAAGCAAAATGTTCAACAAAATACAAATTATCTAAAGAGCTTGTAAACAGACTTTTGCAAATCTATGAAATAAAAAAAAAAAAACATTTTCCTCAATCCAAAAATATTGCTACATGTACCACAAACTAAATGTATCCACAATAGAGAAAGTCACCTGTTTGAAAAGGAGTTTAGACAGTTATGCAACAACATTTTTGAAAATATCAAGATTGAAGAATTTCAGTCAATGCAAATTTTAGCTGACAAAATATGACATGTGGAAAAGTATATGTACCAAATTTTATGGAACCATTTCATGTGACTTGTTATATAAAACAATAGTTATCCTACACCAAACACCAGTATTGGACCAGAAAAGTAAACATTGACTTATACTTATACTGTGAATATCAAATAATTTTGTACTTTCAATCAATTTTCGATCTTCGGTTTTATCATAGAAATTAACATTTACTGTTAAAAAATAATGTGTGAAAAAAAAAACATTTTTACCTCATCATCCAAGACTTCTTATATAATTCAGTGTTGTAAACAAAACAAAAAGTTTTAAGTTCAAAATTCTATTGTCGGCTGAAGAGTCATGCTATCACTATCAGTATCAAAGATCAATACATCATCAATTTCGCGGTTCAGTGAAGCTTTAATAAAAAAATCGTACACAGTATAGGTTAAGAAACGTACCGTATTCCGGTAAAAAACAAAAATTATGTAGAATTGTTCTAATGTATTGATCTGTATTAATATAACTTACTTTATAGATATACTTTATTGAATATCTTTCCCTAGATATTCAATAACTAATTTAAAGGGATACTTAATTGAAGCTGTAGATTGAGTAAATTGTTAACAGCAAAGGTGCAATAAAATTGATTAATTAAAAAAAAAAATAATAATTTTGGAATTACAAGATATCCAAACATTAGGTTACACAAAAGTTATATTCTTACATTGTGAAGTTAACCCATCATGTTCATTCTCCATACTGATATCATTATTACTGCTGTTCTGTCCAGACACACTTGTGTTGCTTAGCAACTGAGTACTTGGATATGATGTGGTACTACTTGATGATGTTGTTACTGAACTTGCTGACTCATCACTAGGTGATGTTACTGGTGTTCCTGAACTTGTGATGTTTGGATTTGACTGGCTGTGAGGAAATTGTCCTGCTGTATTGCGTTCATTAATAGTTTGTGCTGAGACACTGTGTGGCAGCTGGATGTCACCTTGGTTATTTGGAGCTGTAGGCTGGAAACTTGTACTGGTTCCTCGAATGTTACCAGTGAATCGTGCTTCTTGGATAATGGGATTATAATTTGGATTTAGGATCAATTGTTCCTTTTGTCTGATAACATCTGCCAAATGTCTATGTCCAGAATTGTCTAAACAATACAAAAATTTCCAATAAGCATCTGGACCTCTCCGTAATAAATCATCTAATAACTGTCTAACCTTTTCAGGTCTTGGATATTTAGCCTAAAATACCGGAATACACATTTATAATATTCTAAACATTTAAAACAAAATTTTTTTTAAATCTGTTAAATAGTTAAAGGGGCATTAGCTAAGAGATAATAAAAATAACGATGATTAACTTATTTTTTAAACCTATAACATGAAATCAAACAGACCTAGAAAAGTCCAATTGCACGAGGTCGCTATATATATCCATTTATATTTATGTTTATATCTGGTTATGTGACCGTCGACAGTCTTCAGAGGTCATCTAGATGGTTCATTAGATGGCGTCTAGACTAAAATACACACGAAATGCCGATATATATTATTGAGTCTGTGCATTGTAAATTGTTTATTTCAGACTTATTGTAATTAGGATATACGTTTTAGTATGTTATAAATCAAATATGAGAATTTGAGTCAAATCGGTGAACATGAATTTGAATGCCCCTTTAAACTTATATCTAGGATTATAATAGAACTGTGGATTCATTATTATTAGTGGGTACAAATTTATGTATATTTCATGGGTAGAGGTAAAACATGAATTTATATGTTCAGTTAAATATCTATAGCTTTGTAAGCCAACTTTGGCAAAACCACAAAATCAAATATCTACAGTATACAATTGATCCTCAATCCACAAAACTCAATACCCATGAAACTAAATGAATCCACAGTATTGGTTCCTTAGCCAATAAGAATATTACAATTATAACAGAAATTTCATAGAATTTTCTTTTTTAGTAACTGAGTACTGTCTCATAATTATATCATTTACCAAATCATCGGTTACTGAAAGCTTTGTTTCTCTATTGTCATAGTTTGTAAGTTTTTTTTATGCCTTGTAATGATCTGAAAAGCCCCTTTTCAACTGATTTTTAGTTTATTCTATTGTTGTACTTTTCTACCAATATGAAAATAAGAAGGTGTGGTATGATTGCCAATGACTAAACTCTCCACCAGAGACCAAATGATATAAAAGTTAACATACATATATGTCACTGCACAGACTCCAACAATCAGCAAAACCAATACTGCATAGTCAGCTATAAAAGGCCCCGAAATGACAAATGTAAAACAATTCAAAAGCGAAAACTAACGGCCTGATTCATGTACAAAACAATAAACAAAAAACAAATATGATATACAGCAACAAACGACAACCACTGAACTACAGGCTCCTGACTTGGGACAGGCACATACAGAATGTGGCCGGGTTAAACATGTTTGCTGGCTCCAAACCCGCCCACTCACCTTGGACAGCGGTGTAACAGTACAACATAAGAACAATCACTGTTCTGATTAGGGGGATTTTTGAACTCTCCAAAAGCATGTTTAACCCCACCACATTAATGAAATGATTATTTAAATAAAAATTATACCTGGATGTACTCTAACATGAGAGGAGTAAAAATCTCCTTCTCAGCAATTTTGTCCCAGAATTCATTGTCTGGTGACAGATCACTAACAATCTTTGATCTACACTGAGTTAAAGCCTTTCTGTGAATCTTGTCCATATTAAGTCATCTCATCTGAAAGATTCATTAATATATACATTTTACATCATAATCATATAGATGAAAGATATCTGTTATCCGAAATATTTATAGATACTTATATTAATTGATTCCCTTTTTTAATATTGGTGTTGTTTTACACGATTTCTATACATAATGTATTTATTGTGTACAGATCTTTCCTCATAACAATCCAGTGCCCCCTAGTAAGAAAGAAAGTTGACAAATATCTGGACGTTTTATATATATATTATTTTAATTTGTTCTCCTCCTGAATATACATGAAATATTTGCCACTAGACATTAAGCAAGCAACAGTCAATCAATCTTCTATTTCATTTTTGTAAAATTTTAAATTTCTATAAAAAACATTAACAAAGTCATTATATATTCTTTTCAGGGCATTATTTCATTCAAAGAAATTTTTTTAATCCACAGAATAGAAGTCGAGTTTCTGAATTGACCAATTACATCATTTTTATGTTTAATTCTCTTTTCTGTGAATTCTTGTATCTAATATTTCTCTTTGATTTCTTGGACTTAATATGTACATGTATAGATGCCCATTTTTTGTTGATTTATTTGAAAATTATGTTAGATATTTGATAATAACTTAGATATAACATTTGTAAACATTATTGTTCTAAATATGAAACTGTGACTATCAAAAACAAATTTTATTAGTAATAAATTTAAAATCTAAATTATTAACTTTACAGGTTTAAGGTGAAAATCTCAGGAGTATGTGAAAAGATGATGTAAATATTTATGTTCAATGGTGCAACAAAATAATGCAGATTTAATGCTACAGAGAAACCCATGTCACCTTCTAATATACTAGAATTTTCCATATCATTTACATAATTTCTCAGAGAAAAAATCTTTAGCCAGTGGTTTTTAAAATCACCTGAGATATTGTTGATGTAAACCTTTGACAAATTTCAAAAACAATTGTTTTTTTCATTAAAGTAACTGCAATTTAATTTGTATTTCAAGTATGTTTCCCACTTCTGTTTCTGTAAACTTTATTAAATTATATTTGGACGAAGTCCCCAGTTACAGTAGGAAATCAATAAAAAAAAAAAATCAATCTACTAATGTACTCAAAATCTTTAACTTTTTTTTCTAACTTTTTTTATTTTACTTGTCACAAGACTTTAAATAAAATATAGGAAGGAGCACAATAACAATTTTATTTTGATAATTTATTGATATGAAGAAAAAAAACGTTACCTGATGATAGCATTTCTTTGTTTACATTGAAAATGACGTCACAACTAAAATCCCTAACAACAGAACCAACATCAGAAACGTTTCCATATTTCCCTTTCTTTTTCAACAGATTCTGAAGTAAAAAAAGATGCTTGAATTCAAAAAATAATTTATGTGGACTTCGTCCCCTTTCACAGGTAACGCCTGCCTCATATTTCGAAATGTAGGCATGAAAGCACTTACAATGTTGATTCTCATTAATTTTTACTTTGCAAGTAAAAAACAAAGCCTGCGAACTGATGCTCCCTTAATAGCAAGTTATTTAATATTTGGAAAAAACAGTTTTATTTCAGGAGTTCAAAATACTAATATGCTTGGATGGACAAATAAACATGTACTTCTATGGCTATTTAGTTACAATTTATAATAATACCTTTAATAATTTGTTATGCCATGCTAATCATTGTAAAATTGTTGTATTTTTTGTATAGGCCCCTTGAGGGTCCATGATTGGATAATAAATCTTGAATCTTGAATCCTAGTGGGATACCATCCAAAAACTTTAGAACAAAATCTATTTTAAGTAACAATGACCTTATCCTTTGACCTAACTGACTCCAAATCAATAGACTTCTACCCATTACTTTTTTTTTCATTTTTCATCTGGATAGGCACCATTCCAATCAAGTTATTATCCAGAAACCAATTGTTTTGGTCACAAAAACAAGGTTTTCACAGCAGGACCCTATAAAGGATGGACAGATTTTTTTTATTCTTTCTAGAAATTAATGTCAATTAAAAAATTCTTCAATTTATTTCAATTTATAGCTGAAGCAGGGACTTTCTTTAAGTCCAAATAATTATGACATCTTGAAAGGCTATTATATTTTTTTCTTTGACGCCTTACATCGACGTCAAAGCAAAAATTTAAAATAGCCTTCCAAGATGTCATAATTATTTGGACTAAGACTTTCTATACTAATAGTTAGTATAGAAAGTCCTTGCTGAAGGCAGGAGAGCTGAGTATTTCCATAACCCAGCTCCACTTCACAATAAAAACAGTATTAAAAGATTTTTTCTTTTGTCTTTGCAACAGGAACTTTACAAGTATAACAGTTCTGGACTTCGTGTTTTAAAAAGGCAAAATTTTATCAGAATATGAAAAAGAAATTAAAAAATAAAGATGTTAAACTGCTGTCTCTTAAAATATGACTGCCTTTTCGGCTACAGAAAAATGATGAGTAAATTCCGAACATCCTAGATCTATATACTTCACAGTTTATTTAAGAACATTTAAGGGCACCAATCTGAAAATGAAGAATAAATTCTGGGTCTTTTATAGGAATGCCCGGTGAGAGGAAACATTTAAAGGGCTTTTACATTGATAAGTCTTCTGAAAATAATCACTAACCCTTCTATACACTACGCAAATCGACGAGATACAGGATTCCTATTGTTGGCAAAAACGAAAGTAGATCCAAGGTATTGCAGAAACAAGTTAACTCGTACCATTGTAAACTCGTACCATGTCAACTCGTACCAGTGCAAAGTTGTACAATAAACGAATGTTTTATGACTTGTCTTTGCAACATATATATAAAAAATAATAAAATTTCAATTGGTTTTCCTGAATTTTACTTGAATTAATTTCTGGAGTTACTACCTAATTACCGTAAAAACTTAGTTTTTATCTTAACCATGTTAACATTTCTTTCTATAACCTGCAGCCGAGCAAATATAAGGAAAATAACAGATAAATCGCAAACAACAACAGTGCAGCATATAAACAAAGCTGCCCTGAACAACAAGCTACACAATCAACATATATAACCCAACCAGCCGTCTTCTAATAAATGGAACTGAAGCTGACCATTTTTAAACGCCAATATCAACTAATCTAATCTAACTTATCTTTAAACCCCCTTTGCAGAGGAACCATATTTTCATATGTAGAACAGGTGCTCTCTTTATATACAGTGCTGCTTCTCCTTCCACCATTGGGCATCTAACCATATTTACACGCTCAGCTCAAGTGCTCTCTATATACAGTGCTGTTGCTCCCTCCACCATTCAACATCTGATGTGCTCATATTTACAGTGACGTCCTACCCCCCACACAATTTGCATAAGTTCCTTTATTTAACAGTTTAATTCACTTGATTCCAGTAATTTGTGTGGCAGATTTACAACATACATGAGATTGTCCTCAAGGGACTGTAAGAACAAGGTGTTAAAGGACTGAACACAGAAGAGCTAAACAGGCAACTATAGGCAACCAACTACAAAATCTACTGGACAACAACGACCTTGCCAAAGGAAAGAGGATGAATGAACAACTAAATACAGATGGCAATGAAACTTGTACCAAATATAACAAAAAGTGTAGAACTAGAAGCACTTAATGCTATACTGGAAATCGCTGGGTACACTATAAATGCCCGAAACTAACAGAACAAGAGATACAAATAGCAGAAAACTCAAACAGCGAGGAGAACTATTAATGCAAGCTATGCTGTGAAGAAAAATCTACCATCTTGGTATTGAAGGGGTGCGCACAGAGTAAAACTCATGTCGAACAACTACTTGAAGAAGAAACCGGAGTATTGAAAGTGTGCAACAAAGATGAAACATCAACAAACTGCCAACCAGAGGAGAATCGCGCAGTATGTGTGACACTATACTTATAGATCCAGCCTGGGACATATGCGAAGATTGTAACAACAAATGCCACATCAAATGTATGACCGAAATAAACGAAACATACATACATGCATACCTGTATCATACTCCAAGAAGAACTTAAGCTGCAAGAAAACATCAACAAAGATCTAGCTATCGTAACCCCTCACAGGAACATTTGGGGAAAAAGCCAAGAAACAACATTGCTCAATGATGAATCAACATCACCAACTTATACAAAGCTAATACCTAAACCCAGAAAACCCAAAATGAAACAACAAAACCTTGATGATCCAACACTACCTAAACTTAATGAACTAAGAGCAAGAGAAATTAAAGTTAAAAAAATAGAAGAGCAACTTAATTTAAATTAAGGAAAAATCGCTTAATGAGATACGAAATGAGAAAATATTGCTAGAATCAAGATGTCAACAGCTAGAAGCCAGAAACTTCGAATTAGAACAAATTGTTTAACGACACAAAAAAAGGATCCAATCTGTCTGGAAGGTCTATTAACAGGACAGATAAAACCAGGACAGTTATTTTTGATACATTTTCATCTGTAACTTTTGTTTTAACCTACATATTGTTAAAACTTAAATTGTATAATAAAGAACAGGGTATTTACTTACATTATTTGTAAAAAATAAAAAAAAAAAAATTAATAATACAAAAAAAATCTGCCAGGACAGTTAAATTTTAAGAAAAAAATGGCTGAAATTGCCGAGAAAAATTTACTGATAATTGAAATAATTTCTCCAAAACAACTGTCTGGCATAATATTTTTTGTACGATTATAAAGTTTAGGGAATAATCATTCTAAAAATCTATAATTTAATATTTTTTCGATTTTTAAAGGGAAAAATATCTGCCAGGACAGTAGCCTATTACGTTAGAAATTTTGTTGAAATTAGCTCAAAATCAAAATATAAAGTTAAATATCTTCTTCAAAATGAATGTCTGGTGAGCAAATTTTGGTTCATTTGAAAGTTTAGAATATAAGCTTTATGAAAATATAAAATTATATGAACTTTTATTTCATTAACACAAAAAAAAATCTGCCAGGACAGTAGCCTACTCCGTTAAATTTCTGTATAAATGGCGGAAATTAACATCGCAATTTCTAACTATAACAGTATAAATGAAATAGTTTCTTTATTGCGATTGTCTGGCATAATATTTTGTTACTATTATAAAGTAACAGACCCAATTATAAAATAAAAATAAAGAAATTGAACAATTTTCAATTTTAAAGTAAATACAAATCTGCCAGGACAGTAACTTATTATGCCTTAACTTGTGGAGAATTTGTTTCAAATCGAAATAGAAAGTTGAATAGATTATTATTATTTTTGTTAATAAATTTTAGGAAAAGATAAAAAATATTCATTTGATAATAGATTAATACCTCAACAATCTGCCCAACAGTCGTTTTATAGCTAAATATTTGGTTGGCACGTGCCAATCTTTACGACCAGTCATTGAATCTGTGTATTTGTGTATTTTGTTATGTTAACCGTAAACGAGCGTGTGGTAATGAATACCTATGAGAAGATATAAATTGTTTTAAGTTCTAATTATTTATTAAGAATACAGTGGGCACACTGAAACAAGTAGACAACAAAATAATTTCAGATAGAAAGTGTTTAACTTCCGACATTGTTAATTATGCACAAAACATTCTTTTAAAACAGTTTCCATTAATCCAGGGTTTCCAGAACACATGTTATGCTCCAGTGTACTGTAATCGACTAAAAAAATGGCTTTCTGAGACAAGTTTTACACCTACACAGGACCAAGCTGTACAAATTCATCATACAGGGCATTCACACTGGGTCACTTCTTTAACCAAACAATCAAATGAAGGTTATCTATTGGACAGCATGTACGACACACTTACAACATCTTCAGAAATACAACTTTTACAAATATATTCACATAATAAAATACGTCTGTTGGTCAAGATACAAGAAGTTCAGAAACAAACTAACTCCATAGATTGTGGGTTGTTCGCAATTGCAAATGCTGTAGAATTTTGTTTTACAAGTTTTTCAGGTGGGATACATAGGGTACGTCTAAACACTGCTCAGGACCTCCTGAGTGCACCCAGGACATACAATGTGCACTCAGGACCCTTTATAGTCATCGTATTTGCACACAGGATGGATGAATATATTTGTTACACGCTGCTTATTTAAGAGTTAAATTTTGGTACAATTTGAAATCGAACTTAGATAGATATGTTAATTCTTATGAAATAATGAGGGCACGTGTCACTGATTACACAACTACTGAGCCGTGAATTATCCAATCAACAAAATTGATTGGATTATCTTTATTGTTGTTTATGAATTGTGTTGTTAGTACAGTGTGGGCTTTTCTACGCTATACTAGGTTTACAGTAGCACCTAATAGTAAAGAACGTGAGACAACAGCTCTAATACTCATCTGAATAACTCACCATAATAAGACTAAAAAGGATCTGTAGGACCTAGTCAGTGTGGGCTTTTCTATACTAGGTCTCAGTTAACTATCAATCATGCTTACAAGACGCCATGCTTCAGCTAGCAACATCCAGCACATACCTAACCCCCTCTCAAATGCCATCCAATCTACAGCACCAATACAAAAACAATATGACCTTAATAAAGGAAAAGCATTACAAAAGAAGGGTGAAAACTGCAACAGACAACATCTAATTGTAGAACTTAAACCAGGCAAAAATTTAGTTATCTCACTCAGCACTGCTGCCTATGAGCTTGCAAAACACATTATACCTTTAATTCTCACAAGCCATATGGAAACATTCTCAACTGAAGAACGTAATGCTGTGGACAACAAATGGGTCAGTGTTGATAAGATGTATCAAGTATTCAATAAAAAGTTAGATGGCTCCAAAGGAAAACAAAAGAAATTCACTATTAATTTCTACCATACATCCTCACAATTACTTATAAATGGGGCTCACATTGACATTTTTGTGAAAGAAATTTACTCTCAGCTATGCAATGAAATAAAACAGAAACATCATGATTTAAATGTCGTAAACAACAATATATTTGAAACCTTGGAAAATTTGGAATTAAAACAAAAGTCATCTATAAATTTACAAACTATGGACCAAAATGCAACTAACACATCTCAAGAGTTGGAAATACCACAAATAAAGCTGAAACTTCTAGAAATGGCCATCTAGTAAGCAATGATTCTATTCAAGAATCATCTTTTCAAAATATAGATCTTTGTCCATTGTGCCAACAACCCTCGCAGGATGATACAATTGAATGTAGTGAATGCAGCCTATGGCTACACTTTACATGTGCTGGAACCTCAGACAAAAATCTGCAAACATTTAGACAAAATGATTTCATATGTCACATTTGTAGTGAAAACCTTCTGTATTACACAAATCAGTTAGAAAATGAACATGATCACCAACATAATGACAGCCTCACTACAGTAAAAACGCTGCATAATAACAGCGAAATAAACTCTACCAAAACTGTCACTAATAAGCCTGATAATATTGTAATAGATCCACCAATTAGGAATCTAATTCCAGAACAAGAGGTTCATTATACAGAAAATCATGAGATCAATGAAATAAATAAAACAACTCTAAATGTTGAACAAAGAGGAATTCAACAAGAAGTAAATGATCTTCCCAAAATCAAAGAGAAAAAACAACAGACAAAATCTAAGGCCAAAGAAGAATCCAGTCTGGATAAGGCATATATCTCACAATTAGAGACACAAATTGAAAGGCTTACCTCTACAGTAGAGATTC